CATGCCCCCTTCCCCATAGGCACCTCTGGAAATAAGTTGAACCTCGTTTGTCCAATAGATCCAGCGCCGTCTGGAGGCCCAACCCGATTTTATACTGGTAATAGGTAACTTTTAAGAGTTTTCTATTTGCTAAGGCACTGTGTTAACTAACTATAAGGAGCTCTGGTGGTGCATTGGCCAAGTGCTTGGCTGCTAATGAAAAGGTAGAAGGTTCAAACCCACCAGCTGCTCCGCGGAACATGTGGCACACTACTACCTCCGTAAAGATTATAGCTTTGGAAACCCTAGGGGTCAGTTCTGTTAGATCCTATAGCGTCGCTATGAGTCGGAATCGACTCCATGGCAACGGGTTTGATGTTAAGTATTTTAGATGCAGGATCTCAGTTTTCACAAGGTTTCTTCCAAACTTAGATTTCATCATTTTCATTGTGCTTATGATGAAAGTGAGGCTTGGAGAAGGACTTGATTGAGGTTGCACATCTAGTAATGGCAGTTTTTACCGTCTTGCTACACTGTTGCTTGCTACCACTGCCTCTGGTCAGGCTTAGGGCCCTTTGCGTTCGGAATAATCAAGCGTTGAATTTGCTTAGACTTTCTTGAAAGCAGTAGGTATTCTCTAGAGGAGCCCTGGTGTCGCAGTGATTAACCACTTCGCTGTTAACTGAAAGGTCGGCAGTTTCAACCCACTAGCAGCTCTGCGGGAGAAAAATGTGGCAGTCTGTTTTCATGAAGATTATGGCCTTGGAGCAGTTCTGTCTCACAGGGTCGCGTGAGTCAGAATTGACTGGATGGCCAAGGTTAGAGGAGTCCAAGTGTCTCTCCCTGAATTGAGCAGGACTCTACCCATAGGTTCTGGGAATGGGGGTGAGGGCTTTTTTGTGACTTTGGGCATGTTACTTTATTCATCGGTGTTGAGGAAAATGTTCCTGTTAGGAAAATTTCTAAGTTAGTGGCCATGTTATTTCTGGACTTCAGAGGGGGTGGAGCAAGGACAGGTTGGGAGAAGAGAATACTGTAAGGATGTTACCAGTAGGCCGATGAGCTAGTTGTTCAGCTCCTCTTACTAGCTTCTTGGTGATGCCTGAAGTTGGGTGAAAAAAGAGGACCAGAGTTCTGCTGTTACATAAAGAAATAAAGAGATGAGTTTTTCTTTTAAAGGAAAAATTTTATTAGCACTCAGTTTGCCATACTTGTGTGGTAGCCATGAGATGACTGCACAAACTGGGGACACCCTGAGGAAAGACGCCTTGGTTCCTGGCCACAGGGAGTTTACAGTCAGTGGAAAATACCAAGGGACAAGTGAATTTGCAGCACACATGGGAGATACAGCGTATACACAGGACTCGATTAAGGTTTTAGATCTATTGGAGCTGAACAATGATCACCCCATTTACCAATCAGAATGACATTAATTATGCTGAATGTAGGAATTTTCTCTTAGGAGCCCTGGTGGCACTGTGGTTAAAGCATTGGGCTGTTAACTGAAAGGTCAGTGGTTCAAATCTACTATCTGCTTTGTGGGAGAAAGATGAGGCAACCTGCTTCTGTAAAGATTTACAGTCTTGGAAACCCTATGGGGGTGGTTGTACTCTGTCCTATAGGATTGGATGGGAACGACTTGATGGAAGTGGGTTTTTTCAGGAGTGTGTTATGTGGTAAGTCACATCTAGCTACCTAAGGAAGATACAGTGTGAAGGTTTGCTTTAGGATATTATAACCAATCTTTATATCAGAACTGTATCATTTCTCGTTCTTTGTTGTTGTTGTTCAGGGAACAGAAACAAATATTTAGATACCTACTGTGTGTCAGACACTATTCAAGTGCTATTGGAAATAGATAATACCATTTTACTGAAGCTAAGTACTGGCTCCTATCTATACTAATAGAGCTGGTTTACACACCTGGTAGGTAGGTAATGTAATAAATGTACTGATTTCTTGAAAGATCTTTGTTTTTGTTACTCTTAGTCTTCCAGTGTAACCAAGATACTGGTTATATTGAAGTAATTACTCTTCAGAGCTTGGTACATAGTAGATACTGAGTAAAAATTTCCTGAATGAAGAGCATACATTTGGCTTGCAAGCAAAGGGCTGGTTGTTTAGAGGTTTCAGTCTTCATGAGAAGTCCATTTGAGAATTGGGAGATAAAAAGCTAACTGTCTTTTTTTATGTTGAGAGAAGCATAATATCCAGATCATGAACACAGTCCACTCTATTCTGCACAGATCTAAGAGTGTTGTATTCAGTATTGAATGCTCCTTTATAAGATGATTATTTATAAAATGAAAGGTGGACTAGTTAGTAAGGAGCCAAGAGATTTTCATTTGAGGAATAGTTAAATGGAAGGACCTGAGTTATTTATGTAAAGGAAATTAGTGGGGAATTCATGAGTTCATTCAAGTTTCTGAAGGGTTACTATGTTGATAGTTGCTTGCACAATAAAGAGAATAATTGCAAAGAAATATGAAAACCGAGTATGATGTTAATGAAGTAACATAATTTAGAGGAGAGAATAGCAAGCTGCTACTAGTAAAGCATGAGGTTGAATGTGGCCAACAGGAGGGTTGTTGGGCACCTCAAACAGTCTGATAGATCATTTGGTAAGGGCAGGAGGAGTAAAGAGTTGACACTAAAGTAATGCTCAGTGGTTATGGGTAACATTAAAAAACATACAGTACTTTTTTTTTTTTTTTGCATATAATGCAAATTGGAAACTAATGCAGGAGGATGTTGCAGCTTATAAAACACCCCCATCGTGTAATGTGCATGCTATTTTTGTAGAAGTATGGTATTGGCCTTGAAAAGTAGAGGGGAAGAGACAACTTACTATTTTTTGTGAAATTTATTCTCCATTATTGTATAGATTTAAAGATAAAAACATTATTTTGCATTTGAGATTAGAAAGTCATAGAATAACAACACTGAGTAACTGGAAATTAGAGTGAAGCAAAACTCAGGAGTGGATAATTCTATAACGCTCTGGTGGTGCTGTGGTTAAGTGCTTGGCTGTTACCAGAAAGATTAATGGTTTGAAGCTATCAAGTGCTCCATGAGAGAAAGAGATGGCATTCTGCTCCCATAAAGATTTATAGCCTTGGAAACCCTTAAGGGCAGTTCTTTGTCCTGTAGAATTACTGTGGGTCTGAATCAACTTGATGATAATGGCGTTTTTGGTCTCTGTTATTCTTTTATTTCTTTCTTAAATAAATTATGCACTCTAATCATACATACCAGAAGGAATATTGGGCAATTTACTTCTGTAGTAAATTTACTTCTGTAGTTTCTGCCTCGGAAACCCAGGGAGGGGTTGCTGTGAGTCGGATCTGACTTGACGGCAGTGAGTTTGGTTTTTGGTTTTAATCATACATACCCACTCATGTCTGGAGGAGGTCATGGAATGTGTGCCATTGTAAAGGACAATTTTGTTGGAAACCTCAGGAAAGGAGCCATTTTAGATTGATGGTCAGGGAAGACCACTGGGAAAGTGGCATTTGAACAGGAATCTGACTTGGGAGGGGTATAGCCAAGGATTCAAGCAAAGGGAAAAGCAAGTGCAACTCAGGTTGAGTAGGTGAACAAATATGGGTGTAGCATTGTGAATGAGGGGAAGCAGTAAGGAATGAGGTTAAACATTTGGCCAGGGGCCATGTTAGGTTAGAAATCTAAGAAGTGATGTCAGGCACAGTTAAATATGTGCGTAAAATAGTAAAAGACATAAAGTAATAATAAAATGTACTTTATATATATATATGTTTTGTATTTATGTATATATGTGTCTTATGTGTGTGTGTACATATGTATATGTGTATATAATAGGAGTCCTGGGGGTGCAGTTGTTAAAGTGCTCAGCTGTGAACAGAAAAGTTAGTGGCTTGCACCTACCATCTAGTCTTTGGCAGTCTGCTTCTGTAAAGAATTTAGCCTTGTAAACCCTGTGGGTTAGTTCTACACGGTCCTATAGGGTCACTGTGAATTGGAATGACTCAACAGCGGATTTGTTTGGTGTGGTAGTTAAGGTTGTGTGTTAACTTGGCTGGGCCATGGTTTTGAGTGGTGGGGCAGCTGGATGTAGTTATTCATTCAGCTGGATGAGATTGGTAGTCAACTGCATGGTGGAATCTGCTGTGAGCAGCTACATAGCTGACTATGGGGTGTGACCTGCTTCCAGTATATCAGAAGAAGCTTTGAGAAAGGTCTCTGAGCTTTGGCACATCTGGATCCTGCATTTGGCCGAGTCTTCATTTCCATGGCCTGCCATATTGCCTATCTTGGGAGTGTGCCATTTTACTTGTGGATCTTGGGGTTTGTCACCCTCAGCACCCAGCAGCTGTGTGAATCATAAAAAGCCTCCAGCTCTAGTGGGCCTGGTACAGGAGGTAGAGCTGAAGCCCAGGTCAAGGGGCCTTCACCCAGCCCCTAGGAGCTGCCACTTTGAACTTGGACTTACAGCTTCCTAAACTGTAAGAGAATAAATCCTTGTTGATTAAAGCTATCCTCTTGTGGTATTCCTGTTACAGCAGCAGTTTAGAGAACTAAAACAGTTGTGTTTATGTAATAAAATAAAGTTGCCGCCAGGCTGTTTTTAACATATGAATATAGCTCTGGTAGCATAGTGCCTAAGGCACTTGACTGCTAGCCAGAAGGCTGGTGGTTCAAACCCACCAGCCACTCCTCGGAAGGAAGATTGGGCAATCTACTTCCATAGTGATGTTGTTGTTGTTGTTGTTTGCCATCGAGTCTGCCCCGACTCATAGCGACCCCTCCTTGGGTTTCCGAGGCAGTATCACTACGGAAGTAGGAATGCCCAACCTTCCTTCCGAGGAGTGGCCCTGGAATCCCAACAACTCGACGGCACATAACAACAATAAAGTAGTGAGCTTGGGACAGAGATTCTATTTTGAAGGGTAGAATTTTTTCCATTCTGATAATAGCTCTGTTATTGGACATTTAAGTTATATTTTGCAGTTTCATTTTTTAATCATCAAAACCATTTTTTATCTGTCTTTCTCTAGAGCTGTATATATAGAGCATCCTGGAGTCCACCATGAATGGACAGTTGGACCTAAGTGGGAAGCTAATCATCAAAGCTCAACTTGGGGAGGATATTCGACGAATTCCCATTCATAATGAAGATATTACTTATGATGAGTTAGTGCTAATGATGCAACGAGTTTTCAGAGGAAAACTTCTGAGTAATGATGAAGTTATAATAAAGTATAAAGATGAGGGTAAGTGCTTTTACAGCTAGTTTTCAAAAGTCTAACTATTGTATGTGTTCTTTTACCCATTTTTGTTTGGATTATCTCTTTTCATTCTTTTCCATGGGGATTGTATCTACTTTAATAGACCATTCATGTACTTAAGTTACACCATATTTTCATGCAAATAATTGTGCACTGTACCGTTATTAATGATAGTTACTAATGATAGTTTACTATTACAAGGGTGTTTTAAGTGACAAAATACTTCCATTTGCATTTTTACAAGCATATCTTTGTCATTCTTATATGATTCTAGTTTCTTTTTTCTTATAAAATCAGTCTTCTATTAGGTGGGCCCGTGATGTTTCTACATATATATTTGTATGTGTTATAAGAATGTCCATGTATATAATAGACCTAACAAGGGGCAAAGTTACAATAACTTCTTAGCCACCACCACCTTAGTCAACCACCCTGAGGGAGTGAATAATTGGACCTGTGGGCTTGGGACCGTGGTCTCGGGACATCAAGCTCAGTGGCATAACGTATTACACAAAAGCATTCTTCTACATCCTACTTTGGTGAGGAGTGACTGGGGTCTTAAACTTGCAAGTGACTATGTAAATGCAACATTGGTTCACTCCTTATCCAGAATGATGAAGAAAACCAAAGATGCCTGAAAACAATCAGTCCAAGGGACCAGTGGACCATGTGAACTTCAGTGTGTATGACCATGAGACCAGAAGAACTAGATGGTGCCCGTCAACCACTTGGAAAAGGATCAGTGCAGGAGATCTTGGATAGAGTGGGAGAACAATGTGGAGCAAAATGCAAATTCATAAAAAAAGACTAGGCTTTCTAGTCTGATGGAGCCTGGTGAGCCCCAAGAGTATGGCCCCAAGTTACTCTTCAGGTCTGGAGTTTGAACTCACTCCCCTGGCTTCCAGCCAAACAATAGAAAGGCATGTAGGGCGAACATTTACATCAGGTAGATACACTCCTTAGAATGATCAGTCATGGGAGAACAGAGTAGTATTTACACAGGGAGATAGCTCAGGGGGCAGGAATGCATAGGAAAGAAGGACACAGGGAAGAGGTGACTACAGGGAAGAAGTGGAAAGAGAACTGTTAAATTGTGGCGGTATAGTCAATCTCATAAAATAAAGTATGTATGAACTGTTACAAGCTCTGGTGGTGCAGTGCCTAAGACATTTGCTAACCAGAAGGTTGGTGGTTCAAACCCACCAGCCACTGTAGAGGGGCAATCTACTTGCGTAAAGATTTACTGCCTCAGAAAGCCAATGGAGGCCACTATGAGTTGGAATCTACTCAGTGGTGAACTGCTATATGGAAAATGAATTTGCTCTATAAACTTTGAACCAAATCACAGTAAAAATTAAAACAAAAAACCAAACTTCCCTTCATATTTCTCCAAATTAGAGGAATATCAGTAAATACGGAATGAAAAAGAATTTCATGGTCATGTAAGTATGGGAAAGCTGGTTTAAAAAACAGCAAATATGTTTATTTATTGCAGGAATTTTCAGAGCTTCTGATATGCTGATGTATGTTTGTGGTATGTAGTCTTACTTGACAATAAAACCATTTTTATAGAGATGTGTTTCACAAAAACAGAAATATTTCACCGAACACAGGAATTGCCTCCACTGCTATATTTCCTATTCTTTTATACCTGCATTTTGTGTTATCTACTGAAATTGATCTTTAGGTGATTACTAGTATCTTTCTTACTGCTGAATTTATTTCCAGTCTTTCTCATCTTGATGTCAGCATAATATTTGGCACTGTTGCCCTAATCATCCTTTTTGAAATATTCTAATTTCTTATTATCTCTGACATTGTGCTGTCCTGGTTTTCCTCTTCTCACTAATAGCTTCTTTTCTGACTTTGTGAATGTTTTAAATGACAGCTACTGTAATGGAAATCTTAAAATATCAGTGATTTAGCAGTCAAATCACTCAGGGACCCAGAGTTAACAAAAGACCTGTTATCTTCAATAGGTATCCTTTAAGTTCACCTTGGATACTGATATCCATTAGGTAGATGGGTCAAGACAAAATATGGCAGTCATGTAGGATGTTTTATTCCCTAAACCTTAAGTATTGTGTATCATTTCTGCCCACATTGGCCAGACCCCAGTCACATGACTGGTGACATGCAAATAGCTGGGCAGCCACTTTCCTGCAGCTTAAAATGTGGACCTAAAACCAAACCCATTACTGTTCAGTCAATTCTGACTCATAGTGACCCTGGAGGGCAGAGTAGATCTGTCCTATAGGATTTCCAAGGCCGTAATCACTACGGAAGCAGATTGCCACATTTTTCTCCTGCGAGTGGCTAGTAGGTTCAAACTGCCAACCTTTTGATTAGTAAGTGAGCTCTTAATCACTGTACTGCCAGGGTTTACTTTTGTAATATGTGTTGTTATTGTTAGGTGCCATCGAGTTGGCTCCTACTCATAGCGACCCTATGTACAACAGAACGAAACATTGGCTGATCTTGTGCCAGCCTCACAATCCTTGCTATACCTGAGCCCATCGTTACAGCCTCTCTATCAGTCCATCTCATTGTGGGCTTTCCCCTGTTTTGCTGACCTTCCACTTTACCAAGCATGATACTCTTCTCCAGGGAAGGTCCCTTCTGACAATATGGCCAAAGTAGGTGAGACGGAGTCTGGCCATTCTTGCTTCCAAGGAGCATTCTGGCTGTACTTCTTCCAGGGCACATTTGTTTGTTCTTCTGACAGTCCATGGTACTTTCAGTATTCTCTGTCAACACCACAACTCAAAAGCAGTCACTGATTATCAGCTAAACTGGCCATCTAGCTACAGCTGTAATTCTTTTCCTTCTCTTGGTGTTAATATGATCTAAGAACACCAAAAACTAATTTTTAAAGATCATCTGTGTTAAGGAAAAATGAAGAACATTTTTCCCACTTGCAACATAATGACTTTGATTTCTTTGACTTACAAATGTGTGCCTTAATTTGATCAGTTTGTTCTCTTTCTTGACTTTATAACTCAAAATTTTAACTTTTTTCCACTTCTTCTCTTAACTTCAAACTTGTTTTTGTTGGTTGCCATTGAGTTGATTCTGACTCATAGTAACACCATGTGTACGTGAGTAGAGCTACTCCATAGAGCCACCTTCTGGGGGGAGGAGAGCTACTCCATAGAGCTTTCTCCAGAGGGTTTCTTTGAGTGGTTCTGTTAGCCTTTTAACTTTTCAGCTAGTAGTCTAGTGCTTCAATGTTTGTGCCAGCCAGGAACTCCTTCCTTCAGTGTTGGCATAAACACACTGTTTGACTGGCCTTAACGGGCGTGCGCCTCCTTTCATTTGGGAGCTCTGGTAGCATAGTGGCTAAGGCACTTGACTGCTAACCAGAAGGCTGGCGGTTCAAACCCACCAGCCACTCCTCGGAAGGAAGATGGGGCAATCTACTTCCGTAGTGATACTGCCTCGGAAACCCAAGGAGGGGTCGCTATGAGTCGGGTCCAACTCGATGGCACACAACAACAACAACTCTCTTGTTTTTGTTTAGGCGAAAAATGAAACTTTTTCTGTAAAAGACCAAATAATAAATATTTTTTAGGTTTTTAGAACATACAATTTCTGTTGTCATCTTTTTTTTCCCTTAAAAAATGTAAAAATGGTTGCAATTAACTGACTCTTACTTAGAAGAAGGCACTTGACTGCTAACCAGAAGGCTGGTGGTTCAAACCCACCAGCCACTCCTTGGAAGGAAGGTTGGGCAATCTACTTTTGTAGTGATACTGCCTCGGCAACCCAAGGAGGGATCACTATGAGTCGGGTCCAACTTGACGACACATAACAACAACAACACAACAACTTAGAAGTTTATTTCTTTTACTCATATTTTCTTAAAATGTTTGAATGGCATCCCTGAAAGTTGAACATTAGGACATGTGTGTTATTAAAAGTGGATTTGGGCATAAAAAGCTAAAAACAATTATTAAAATCCTCATTTACTACCATCTTTGTCCAAAGTAAATCTAACTAATTAATGTGAAAATTGGTGCAGCAGAGCAACCCTGGAGTAGTCTCTTAGCCTCCCGGGGTAACCATCTGACCCCCACTCCCAACTGTGTCTGTAAAGATAGCCTGTCTAGGCCCCATACTCCTCCTTGCCTGTGGCTGCTTTTCTGTTCTTGCTCTGTTTAGAGACCATTTTTCCCCCTAGCCCTTTGGAAACTTTTGAGAGGCGTGAGTGATAATGTTAATTATAGTATTCTTTATCCTAGGGGATTTCAGAGTCATAAATGTGCACTATTTGTACATAATAAAATTTCTGTCAAGAATGGATAGTTTTCCTTTTAATATCAGAATGGTCAGAAATCTGAAATACTCCATTGTCTATCCACTCATTAAAGAAATTCTGCAGAAACCTCTTTGCAGCTCTGAGTTATTATTATATATGGCTTTCTGTCTTCCGTATCAATGACATATTATTGGACTTAGAGTTAAATTTTGAACTTTGAGAATCATTACAATTTAACTTTTGAGAAATATATTTAACTTTTTTGAAATGGAAAGATTTCAGTCTAAATCAATGGTTTGTTATACTGCTAACCATGAGTCTCCTCTTGATGACTAGTAAAAGGCAACTTAATTCATTAATTTTAGCTGCATTTTTGGCTTCTTTTGTGAGGATATGATAAATACATTGCCATAAGAGTAATAGGGACAGTTGTTTATGTGTGTCCTAGTTTACTACTGATGCAAATATTAAATCATTTTTTTCTTTTTAAATTCCAGATGGAGATCTTATAACAATTTTTGATAGTTCTGACCTTTCCTTTGCAATTCAGTGTAGTAGGATACTGAAACTGACATTATTTGGTAAGTGGTAAACTTCCTAATTTATTGTTTTCTTTATTATGTTTTTATTAGACTAGGCTTTTTCAAGGTCAGGATTAAGTAATAACTTATTTAAGAGTGCTTAAATTTTCATTCAAAGAGCATTTTTAAGTTATTTGAAGCTTCTGCTCATGTATGTTTTAAGAAAATAATAGAAGTTTAATTCAATGAGAACTGAGTGTGTTATGATTATCTTGTTTCTGAAATCAGATACAGTTAGATATTTCTAATGGAATTTTATTGCATTAATTTTTAACCACATCAGAATTTTTGGCTCAGCTATGTCTTTTATTTTTAAGATGTAGAAAATAAGCATGTTTTAAATTCCACATCTGCTCTACCATTTAGTTACCTTAAATAATAATGTGTGTCACTTGTGTAAGTGTTTCAAGGTTAAAAATAATTGTAGGGTTAAAACTACCTTTATTTATTTATTTATTTATTTTCCAACAGTTCATACACATTTTTTAAAAATACATTTTATTGAAATAAAATTTATGTACAGTGAAAGATAGAAAACTAAAGTGACATGGGTCAATGCATTTTTTTCTTTTTTTTTGCAATGTTCCTTCCTGCAAAAACGGCGAGGAGGCCACATGTTCTGACCTCCTCTAATCCCACAAGGGGAAGACAGGGTTACCAGCAGTAACCCAAGGCCTGTTACTGCCAGGCCAGACATGTTTCCTCCCTCCAGCCCTTTCTCCAACCGTTCCTCCCAGAGCACCCACCACCTCTCTCTTGGGTTCGATAATTCACTGTAGTGGCCACAGAACTCACAGATTACAAGGTTTATTAGGGAAGCACCAAGCTACAATTTGCGTTCAGGAAAAAATGCTCAGTCTCTCTCTCCAGCCCACCATCCCTCAGCCAACAGTCTCTCTCAGTCTCTTTCCGGGGTGCGTGTCTCTTGCGTCTTTTTCCCAGCAACGCGTGTCTCAGGAGCCTGTGTCTCTTTCAGCAGCACGTTTTCCTCAACCAGCAGTCAGAGAGAGTTCTGCCTCCAGGAGGCCTCCTTTTTGAGCCTGGCAGGGTGGTCCAACTAGCCAATTATAGCATCTGAGAGAGTGGGAACCTCCCAGAACATTGTTTTGTGCCACTCCCAACAGAAATACTCCAGGTGGACACCTTCAGCAATCATAAGCTCCTCAGTTGCTCACAGCAAATCCCACCTTGGAGTTCACAAAGACTTATGGGTAGAAAAGCCACACAAAGTAATTTACTACACTGCACTTCCCCTCCCTTCCTACCCGATAATCAACAAAGAAAGCTTCCTTCCATATATAAACCTTTCCTTGACTTTTTATATGAATGAACTAATACTATATTTACCTTTCTGTGATTGACTTACTTCACTCAGTGTAATGTCCTCTTAAGTTCATCCATGGTAAGCAGTGTTTTGCAGATTTTACATTATTCTTTAGTGTTGCGTAGCATTCCATTGTGTGTATGTATCATAGCTTCGTTATCCATTCTTTTGTTGATGCGCACATAGGTTGTTTGCATCTTTTTGCTATTTTAAGTAGTGCTGCGATGAACATGGGTGTGCATGTATCTGTTCTTGTCCTGGCTTTCATTTCTTTAGGATATATACCTAGTAATGGGATTGCTAATTCCAACTTAAGGAATCGCCATACTGTTTTCCACAGTGGTTGTATCACCTCACAGTCCCACCAGCAGTGGATCAGAGTCCCAATCTCTTCACATCCTCACTAGCATTTGTTCTTTTCCATCCTGTTGAACTTTGCTATTAGTGCTGGGGTGAGGTGGTATTTCATTATTGTTTTGATTTGCAACTCTCTAATGGCTAGTGATCATGTATTTGCTGGCCGCCTGAATATCTTCTGTGGTGAAGTGTCTATTCATGTCTTCTGCCCATTTTTCAATTGGATTGTTTGCCTTTTTGTTGTTGAGGATTGGAGTTTTCTATAAATTTTAGAGATAAGTCCCTTGTCAGATATGTCATTGCCAGATATTTTTTTCCCAATCTGTAGGTTCTCTTTTCACTCTTTTGGAGAAGCCTTTTGATGCACATAAAAATTTATTTTTTAGAAGGTCCTATTCATCTAGTTTATCTTCAGCTGTTTGTGCATTTTGGATTATGCTTGACAGTTTATGCCGTAACTGGGTTTGAACCACCAGCCTTCTGGTTAGCAGTCAAATGACTTAGGCACTTTGCCACCAGATCTCCCGTGCCATTAATTAGGGCCCCCTTAATTTGCCCCTATTTTTTCCTTGAGGAACTTTATAGTTTTATGTTTCACATTTAAGTCTTTGATCCATCTGGAGTTAGTTTTTGTGTATGGTGTGAGGTACATATCATTTCATTTTTCTGCAAATGGATACCAGTTTTGCCAGCACCATTCGTTAAAGTGATCATCTCTTCCCCATTTAATGGATTTCAGCCCTTTGTCAAAAATCAGCTGACCATAGGATCTATTTCTGGGTTCACAATTCTATTCCAGTGGTCTTTGTGTCTTTCGTACCAGTACTGGGCTGTTTTGACTGCTATGGCTATATAGTAGCTATGAGATCTGTGAGTATGAGACTTCCTACTTTGTTCTTCAGTAATTCTTTGCTTATTTGAGGTCTCTTTCCTTTCCATATAAAATTAGTGATTGGTTTTTCTGTATCCTTAAAGAATGTTGATGGGATATTGATTGGGTTTACATTAAATGTATAGATTGCTTTGGGTAGAATTGACATTTTCACAGTGTTCAATGTACCTATCCACAAGCATGGTATGTTCTTCCATTTATGTAGATCTCTTATGGTTTCTTGGAGTAATGATTTGTAGTTTTCTTTGTTATAGGTCTTTTGTGTCCCTAGTGAGATTTATTCTAAAGTATTTTATTTTGTTGGTAGCTGTTCTAAATGGTATTGATTTCCTTATTTCCTTTTCAGCAAACTCTGCTGGTGTGGAGGAATCCAACTCATTTTTGTATGTTGATCTTAGATCTGACCACTATTTCAACTCTCTCAATTAGTTCCAGTAGGTTTTTTTTACTGAGTCTTGGGTTTTCTATGTTGGGATCATATCATCAGCAAATAGGGATAGTTTTACTTCTTTCTTATCAATTTGGATGCTTTTGATTTCCCTTTCTTGCCTTTTTGCCCTGGCTAGGACTTTCAGTACAGTGGTGAATAGAGTTGTGATAGAGGGTGTCCTTGCCTGGTTCCTGTTCTCAAGGGGAATGGTTTCAGTCTCTCTCCACTGAGAATATTGTTGGCTGTTGGTTTTGTGTATATGCCTTTTATTATGTTGAGTAATTTCCCGTCTGTTCCTATTTTGCTGAGAGTTTTAATCAAGAATGGATGTTGAATTTTTTCAAATGCCTTTTTTGCATTGATTGATATGATCATCGGTTCTATTCCTTTGTTCTATTTATGTAATGGATGATGTTGATTGTTTTTCTAATGTTGAACCATGCTTGCATACCTGGTATGAACCCCACTTGGTCATAATGTATTATTTTTTTGGTATGTTGCTGGAGTCTATTGGCTAAAACTACCTTTATTAAGCTGAGTTTCCAAGAATTTATAATTACTTTTTCATATAATGTAGTAGGTTTTTACTTATATTCTAGCTTAATTTATGTTGTAGGCCTGATACTTTAGACATGATTTTTGAAGCAGTAGTTAAAGATTAGAGATAGGTCTATAAAAGCAAATGAAAGGACTTCTGGTAAGATGGTGAAATAGGGAGAAAGACTGCACAGACCCTCTTCAACAAAGAAAAGGGGAACCAATAGAAACAGACACAGAAGATAATCTGGACCCTTGAGCCTTGACGGGAAGGATATAGAAGTGGACTAAACCTCACTAGCAGAAGAATTTGCATGAAAATACCAAAAAAAGGAGACATAAGGAGCTGCAGTCTGGCAGCAAACCTGAGCAAGCCTGACAGCACGGCACAGACAGCTTGGGGAGTGCTGAGTGGTGGTAGGACCTAAGAATTAACCTAAAAATCAGCCCTGTTAGTCAGGGACTACACGGAGGACTGCTCTGGTGTCTGGGGAATAAAACGCAAAGCACCAGTGAAGAGAAAGGTGGAATGAGCTGTGTACTTTTGTCTGTCCGGAGGGTACCACCGCCATGTTGAATGATTACAAGCAGCTTGACCATTTTGGATATTTAAAGAGACAGCGCTCTCCAAGATTTCAGGGGCTTAAGAATAGGTTCTGCTTGCCAGTAACCCCAAGGGCACTCTGGACCTGGATAACTGAGAAAGGTGTGACATTCCCCTTGTTACTCTTATACCCCACACCCCTTGCTGAATGGAGGTGCGGCCATCTCCCACTCCCACCCATCTTCTGGGCCCACAGGAACTCTATCCCAGTCTGTGTGCTCAGGCAGACCCTGGGTGCCCTGCCCTACCCTCCCCCGATGTTTTTTCTTTTTCTTTTTTTATTCTCTTTCTTTTTTTGGTGATTAGTTTGCTTGTATTTGTCTGTTTTAAAACTGCTATTATTATTAATACATTTTCCCTTTTTACTACTATTCTTTATTCTTCCTCTTCCAGGTCCTGGTTTTCAGCTCTTTTTCTTTTCCCTATTCATGGTTGCAAGTTTTTTTTCTTTTTTCTCTCATGGTTAACCCTGTTCCTTGTTTTTCTTTTTGCATTTTTCCCATTTTTTTTCTTCATTATTGTCCTTTTCTACCTTTTTTCTCTTACTGCCGTATACCCAGATATTGCAGGTTTTCTTCTTCTTTTTTTTTTTCCTTTTTTTGTTACTGTTCCCTGTGATTACATGGTGGATTTTTTTGTCCATGTGCTTTTAGTTTTTTGATGGTTATTCAGTTGTAATTTTTGTCTAATTGAGTGGGAAACAACAGTTCCCATAAGACACAACTACACCCACACGTCCTGCAGCTTCACTTACTGACCGAGAGCCACCACCTCCTTCTCCATCAATAGACCAACGATAAAAAACCACCAAGAGGAGCCTGAATCACCCTTGGCTGCTCTTTAAAAGCAGTTAACA